CATCCAAGAGTTTCATGAAATATCTGTAGTAGGTCAGCTTATCTTTCTTATTTCATTTCAAGTCTTTGAAAGGTAATGCCAACTCTATTTTTCTTTGTATGTTGTATTAAGACACTGTTCATTTAAATATTTGTGGCAACCTAATTACATATATTCTAGAAAACCTTGGGAGGTTTTAAGATCTACTTACTGTATCTTTTTATATGCATGACACCTTAAGATCTATTCAAAATCTGTGTCATTGGCGCTCCCTTTGGGAATAGATCTCATCCACAATACCAATCAAACAATCAATGCAAACATCAGTAAAAGAGCCAAGTTTGTACTAGTTCATATATATATATACATATATTGCTCACTTCACATCAAGCAGTGACTGCACATTCTCGTCATTTCAATGGCATGTTCTCTGCAAAGGCCAAAACATTGCAAAATCACAACTTTCAAAAACCTACCCCCCCTCGCTACCGGCTCTCAGAAGGGATACTCATGGGGGTGGGTTTTTGTAAATTGCAGAAATGTGTTTTCTTTTGAGCTTTGGCAATATTGGCGCGGAGCCTTACACTTACATGCCTCTTGTTATCTGGCAAATACCTCCTGTCATCTGGCAAATCTCTATAAAATGCAGGAAGCTCCAGCAAACTTGGAGTTCTTGTCGTAGCTGTTTCACGAATCTACAGATTGTGATCAATGTAGAAATGTGCTCAATGATGCCATTGCATCACATAAGAGCATCATCTGAACATAGAGACATGTACTTTGACAAAATTCCTGAGGCCCGGAGAACGCGCAGCGCCCTTATATATATCTATATTTATATTTATATTTAAATATATTTATTTATTTATTTATATTTATATATATATTTATAAATATTTAAATACATTTATATATATTTACATATTTATATATATATATATTCAAATATATTAATATTTATGTATGTATATATATTTAAAGATATTTACATTGATTTTTTGATATATATATATGTATATTTATTTATTTATTTATTCTATTTATTTATGAATATTTATTTATATATATTTCTATATGTTTATATGTTTATATATGTTTATATATGTTTATATATGTTTATATATATATTTATATAATTATACAAATATTTATAAATGTATATATATATATATTTTTATAGATGTATTAATATATATATATATTTATATATATTTATAAATATTTATATTTATATCTTTATATATATATATGTATGTGTGTATTTAAATATATTTATATATGTTTATGTTTATATATATATATAAATACATATATATTTGTATATATTTATAAATATTTATATATTTATAAATATTTATATTTATATCTTTAAATATATATATATATTTAAATATTTATATATCCTTATATATCCTTATATAAATACATGTTTATATAAATATTGATATATATATATATTTATATGAATATATAAATATATATATATATATAAATATAAATATGTAAATATAAATATATAAATATAAATATGTAAATATAAATATATAAATATAAATATATATATCTATATATATATATAAAGATATATATATATATATATTGATATGTATATATATATATATATTGATATGTATATATATATATTTATTTATGGTAACTACATTTAAATATACGGCTTTTCAATATACGAACAGGTATTTTAGACTACCTCTGGGAAAGTTTTCCTTGGCCCGCCCGGCCATTTAAACATACGGAACCCAATTCATTTCAGCATACGGTAGACACATTTAAATATACGAACTGGTATTTCACTACCTCCGGGGCCTCGCGGTCTGGCCCGCCCTCCACATACTTAAATGTCACGTAATTATATACATATATATATATATATATATGTATATGTGTGTATATACAGTCTGTTATGTATATATACATATTCTATGTACTGTACTCATTTCCAAAGTCTTTGTGTGGAACAGAAATGTCCCCACCTGGCAATGCATCTCAGAATCTGCTCAAAGTCCTGGCAATGCAAACAGAACGCTAAATCAACAAGACATATTTCAATACATATCAAAAGATCATAGGATGAACTCCTTAAGCAGCAAGTTCTAGCTTAAGTCTAATAGCCTCCCTTAAGCCATCTTAAATCTCTATTGCAATTTTCCCTGCCGAAAGCTGCTCAAAAAGCTGTCCTCTAAACCAATTTTCCGTGTGTGACGGCTGTGGGCTGTGTGCTTACAGAAGGCCAGATCTGCATCAACCTACAAGCACAAAACAATGCAGTCTTTCGAGTCTTCCGGCTTCTTGCAGGAAGAACACACTCACTGACATACCGCCACTAGTGAATTGTGCTCCTCCCTGTCAACTTCTTAAGACATCTTACCAATTGTTGTCATGTTCCTTCTGTTTGTGTCCGACATGCCTTTTCAGATCTCAGACTTGCTTCGCATCGACATTAATATGGCCTTCGTGAAATGCCCATCAAGCAAGCCGCTCTCTTTCATGCTCTTGATGAAACCACGGATGTCCATACCTTCATTGACAGTAAGGCTCACATCAGACTTGCGCAAAACCTGATGATTAAACTTGCAGTAATTCGTCTGAACTCCACTCACGCTGACATGGTGTTTCACACCAGGGGAAGGCACTGGCTTCCCACTCTGAGAGCGGAAAGCTGCAGACATGGTGCCATTCTGCGTCGAGTAGACCTTGAAGACTTTCGCCAAATCCACCATCCAGCACAGGCTTATCGCGCGCAAAGGGTATCAAAGGGTCCCAAGAAAATCAAGAAATCTAGCTGAAGAACCCAGAGAAGTTCAACAGTTGTGAGGTTTGGAGCTGTGTGTATGAGTACACCTCGAGGGACGCACACCTTAAGCCCAAAGTGTTGCTACAGCATGCCTTGTGCAACAAGCACAATCAAGGAAGCGAAACGCTTTCAAGACACTAATAGACTGTTCTGTTGATGCTTAGGCTCAGTGAAACCTCGATCAGAAGCATAGTATGGTTTTCAACACACTTCATTGCAGCAACGTTGACAAGTTGACAAGCAAATATCAAAGCTTCAGTCCCTAATGTAGTCTTGGAAGGGCTCGTCCCAGTTTTCAATGTTGGCCTGCCAGGTGTTGAGCCTTCAATGTACAACGGTACCTGAAGTTGATCCGCACAGAGCACAAACCAGCAAAATCCCGTTCTCTCAGCCTCATTGCAAGAGTAGATCTTACCACGGCTGGGAATCCTCAAGTCCAAAAAGAGAAAAACCGGAAAAATAAGGCATCATGCGAATCATGCGAATCATGCGAATCATGCGAATCAATCATGCGGCATGATGGACATCTCAGTCCTCATCCCAAGCTACCAACTCAAACGACTCAAATTTGACAAACAGCTTGACAAACAGCCAAGATGATCCAAGGTGCTCAATGTTTGGACGGGTCAGCACATACTCTCCAATGGAGCTGTCCAGAGTGAAGCCGACGACGCCCCTGAGATTAAAGCTGTTCCGTCATTCAGACAAGGTCCATCTCTTCTATAAAAGGTTGTAGTGGTTAAGAAAGGCCTGACAGCAAGAAGGTACTATTGCAATACTGCAGAGAAACCTTTTTCTCAACACCAACCAATGTTGACGAATTTTCATTTTGCCATCCTCTTTTTGTGCGTTTTGAGTTATTTGAGTCTCCAAAAACTTGGTTTGGGCCTTGATGCGGCCTCCATGTATTTCGAATTCTCTGCAGCCGGCTGGCCTTCCCAACGTGAAGACCAATTCTGTGGAGCAGCTGTAAAGCACATAGCCTGCAGCCACTAACGCCTGGCCGATGCCAAAGGCAGAGAAGGCAGAAGTTTGGAGAGAAAAACAAGAGAAACAATGAGAATCATGTACAATTGCAGCCAATTGCACCAGTGCTTTCGGTTTTTTTGCATTTCTTTCGAATCTGAACATTCAACTTGTCAGTCCAACAGAATCAAGGGTAATGTGGTTTTTCCCATAAGTTTGGCGTTCTTCTAAAAACCCTGCCCCTTGTCTTTTTGCGTCTCTAACTTGCTTGCCAAATAACAAATGATGTTAAGTTCAAATATGTTTAAAGTGTCTTTGCTGGTATCTTTCCATTGGTCAACGCCTTGCCCGGCTGCAAGGTGGCGGCAAGGCAAGAGACTTGATCAACATCCAGGTCCTGCGGTGTCCGAACGTTGTTCCCAGTTGTTCCCATTCAAAGGATTTCAAAGGCCCCAGCAGAAGTCTTAAGCGGTTTCCGTCGGTTCCATCGGTCCGCAAGACACTTGGTCCAGGGTGGATCGGGTTCAATGAGCATGATGCAGCATGACGCATAGCCTGGCCTTTCCTTTGTCAAATAGAATGTCGATAAAATTACCGTAAATTTTGATGTCTTCTCCCTTCGTTTGATCAGTTTGCCTTTGGTCGTTTGCTGAAGGTCGGTTGTCGATCCTGCTGTGTTGTGGAGCCAGGTTCGCTCGGTTTTTCATGGATAGCAGAAAACAACACTGGTTCAAATTGCGCGTATTCTGCGATGTGGATGGTCACGTTGTTTTGATTGAAATTCTGTATGTATATAGATATCCGCCGACAAACAATCGCCAACGGGGGGGAAGGCTTCAGACGAAAGGCAGAACATGCTGGCCTCCCATTCTTCGTTTCATATGTCTGAAAGCTCAGAGCGCCAAGCTAAGCACCAGCGTGCTGCGGCACACAGAGACTTTTGGAGCCCGCCGCGAAGGCGTATTAGCAGCGGGAGGCTCCAGAGACCGGCGTTAGGCATTGAGACTACCCCTCGACTCACGCTGTCTCAGTGAAGCGTTAGGCATTGTGGTAGCATCTTGGGAGGTTTCCGTGTTACCCTGCAAGGTTTCTTGTAAGGTTTTGGGGCGGCCTCTGCGTCGCCCAACAAAGGTACATATTGGTACCTGCAAACATGCCACCACTGTTGCCCCTAAAAAGACTAAGTCAATCCCGCACAAGACATAGAGTTGCACGAGGTGGGGGACGGGGAACCAACAAAGATACAACAACCAACATATCTACACCACCCAACATATTACCGCTGCAAACCGCTGCTCCCTCCAAAAAGGATCCGCCGACCGCAGCCGACAGCAGGGGTGCGAGGGTTCCAGAAAAAGGATGCATGGTGTGTCCGCCTTCCCGACGGTCTTGTCTCCCTTTGTCTCCCATTGTACCCTTCTTGTTTCCTTATGTTGGATGGTGCGTCCGCCTTCCCGGGGGTCTTGTGTCCCCTTGTCTCCAATTGTACCCCTTCTTGTTTCCTTTTGTTGGATGGTGTGTCCGCCTTCGCCAGGGTCTTGTGTGTGTGTGCCTGTGTTGGGTGGTGTGTCCGTCTTCCCGCCTCCGATTGTTTCCTATTGTCACCCCACATGCGTGTCTGTGTTGGATGGTGTGTCCGCCTTTGCGGGGTCTTATCTCCCTTGTCTCCCATTTTCTCCCCACATGCATGCCTGTGTTGGATGGTGTGTCCGCCTTCCCAAGGTCTTGTCTCCCTTTGCCTCCCATTGTCTCCCCACATGCGTGCCTGTGTTGGATGGTGTGTCCTCCTTTCCGAGGTCTTGTCTCCCCTTGTCTCCCTTGTCTCCCAGCCTTCTTGTTTCCTTTTGTTGGATGCTGTGTCCACCTTCCTGAGGTCTTGTCTCCCTTGTCTTCCGTTGTCTCCCCCCATGTGTGCCTGTGTTGGATGGTGCGTCCGTCTTCCTGAAGTCTTATCTCCTCTTGTCTCCCATTGTCACCCTACATGTGTGCCTGTGTTGGATGGTGTGTCTGGCTTGCCCAGGTCTCGTCTCCGCTTGTCTCCCAAATTGTGTCCCCACATCTGTGCCTGTGTTGGATGGTGTCTCTGCCTTGGATGGTGCGTCCGCCTTCCTGAAGCCTTGTCTCCTCTTGTTTCCCGTTGTCTCTGCTTGTCTCCCATTGTGTCTCATTGTCTCCCCCACATGTGTGCCTGTGCTGGATGGTGTGTCAGCCTTTTCGGGGCCTTGTCTCCCATTGTCTCCCATTGTCTCCCCACATGTGTGCCTGTGTTAGATGGTGTGTCCGCCTTCGGAGGTCTTGTCTCCCTTTTCTCCCATTGTCTCACAGCTTGTGTTCCTCTTTGTCCCCCAGCTTGTCTCCCAGCGTTCTCCCAGCTTGTCTCTCTTCTTGTTTCCCTTTGTGGCAGGTGGTCTCATTTAGCATTTTCCCCAAATAGTGTACAGTTAGGGGTTCTTAATGCTTTCTCATGTGTTTGACTCCTGTTCCTCAAAACACTTCGCGAATCCACCCACTGTTTGGGGTCTAGGGTGGTGTAATTCTATTTTTTCGGGGGCCGGCAGCCCTGGACTATAGCAACGCCATGCGGATGCACTTTGGTACTCATTTCGTTTCTGGTGTTCAGAGAGATTTTAGCAGATTCAAGACATTGCCTTCGAAACCCTGGTCTCCTTGACGTTTGCCGGCAGGTTACAAACTGCGTTGGTCTCTTCAGATTCCTGACCATTGGCTCGAAAGTCTCACACTGCATTTGACATGACATGTCTTTGACATGCCTCCCATGATGTTCCTTCCATCCCTCCCTCCCGTCTTTTGTTTGAGCAAGCCTTGAAAATTCCGAAGATCGTGCCAACAGCAATGCCAGCATCCACGTTGCTGCTTCCATCCAAAGGATCAAACCTTGTGTAGAGACCGTAACGGCAAACACTAGCGTCAATCTCTTGTTCCGCTTCGAAGCTACACGAGCGTTCCCATTAACATCAGACATAAAGAAACGACTCGAAGCAGCTCAAAACGGATCTCGACTCTCAAATCAAACTCTGCTGAGGGTGCCACACACAGACCTTGGATGATATGCTGGATCAGAACCATGTCTACTCGATTTTGTTCTGCTAGTGTTGTTTCTGTTTTTGCATCTTCCACTGAAGCAAGATCTCTTTGCTTGCAGACCCAGGAACATATTTTCCAGTGTCAGACAGAACTGTGCCAGATGCTGTAGTCTGGCACGACAAATCGGACAATGTTTGGAGAGAATGCTTGAAAACAAGACAAACACTTCACACATGCAATTCCATATAAGCCTGGTGCTCTCAGAGCCACAAGTTGTCAACAGCAATTTGAAAAGAAACCGGCGCAGTGCCCAACTCGTACAAGTCCCACCGTCTCAGTCCTCCAACGATAAGGCTGCGTTCACTGGCATGTCCTCCTCCTCTGAGGCCATGGTGCCCAGCTTCCCAGTGTATCGTAAGGCCTGGAGAAGGTGTATGTAGCCATATGTAGCCATATATTATACAGCGTCATGTGCAAAAGCTGTACTAGGCTGTACCGGGTTGTGTTCAGCAAAAAACATTAGAACGTCAGACAACCATGGATGTCCGGCAAAAAATATGGTTGCTGGTCAAAGGACGTCCAGGGCTGTCCGACGAGGTGGACAGTTGCATTAACTCTTGCACCATAACAACACTCCTCGCCTTCTTCAAGACATCATTGGTAATTACATCAAGTTTTTTCTGGTCCTGGCCAGCTACACGTCGCTTTAGAAAACCATGTGTAGTATCAAATAGAGATGTTTTAGTTTTCCCAGCTACACGTTGTTTCAGAGTGACATCCAAAAAGTCATCCATCAAACCATTTTTTTGCTTTTCGTCCACCCTGCATGCGCTTTGTTGTCAACATGTATACAAATTCCTCGCCCTGCACATTGATGGCACCCTCCAAACCAAGAAGTTCCGCCTGCACAGCAAAACGCATTGGGACACATGGATGTTTGTATGTCCGTGTCCTGTTTTGAAATTACAGCCTATAGGTACTTGTTGCAAAGGGTTGTCAAATGCGTCATGAAGTCAAACATCTATGCATTGTATGAATGAAAACGTATGTCAGTGTGGACATTGGAGAAGTAGTGACTTATTGATACCGCGTAAATATAATACATTAGGCAGGCATGCAACAGCATTCTTTTGATCTCGTTGCTACATCGATGCGCAAGAGCGTCTTCAATGCTGGAGGCGCAGCCGAATCCGTTAAAATCTCAGCAAGCACCCGCTCAAGCGGCATTTGGAGGTTGAAAAGGGGAGGCCGGCGGGTCAAAATTTAAATCCCTCCTGAATCTTAGCCAAAACTACCGGGCACAACATTCCTCACAGGGCGCTCAACCCAGGACATCACGGAAAACCTGGCATGCTTCCTAATGAGCTCTGTGCCAACCTAACCTACCCACCCTCCACATAGTGTAGCGGAACAGTGACCCTGGAAGCATCCAGGGGAGCTCTATCCACGGGAGCTCTATCAACAAAAAGGCAAAAGGAGGTTACAACAAAGGAGAAAAAACGAATCCAACAGCAATGTGCTACAGATGCGGCCAACCAGGTCACATGGCAAAGGAATGCAGAACAGGGGTGTACAGCATGTCAGAAACACCGCGGGACCAAAAACAGGAAGGAACAGCACAATGGTATGACCCAAACAATACCTACTACGACAGCTACGGGCACAGCAACGGCCAGTCAGGCAACTTCGGCATACAACCACCTTAGCAACAGTAAGTGGTTTTGCCACCGCCAACAACTGACAACCGCACACCATCTACCCAACTCTTGGCTGGGCCATCACTTAGCAAGTGTCGAGGAGGATGCAACAACTACAACATGGACAAGGACCAAGGCAACAGATAAGGACATACCAGTACATGGCTACAAGTGGGTGTTGATGCACGACATCAACAAGCAAGCGCTGGCTGTTCCCTTCTACGCGTGTGATGTGACACAACCCATTATGTCAGTAAAAAGACTGGCAGAACAAGGGTTCAACACGCAGCTGAGTGACACACCAACAATCGCACACCGCAAACTGAAGCAATGTGAAGGCCTCTACTTGTACCAGTCACTCTGGCAGCACTACCAGCCAACATGAGGCTTGAGATCAACCAGACAGCAAAAGGAACAACAGCAAAGATAGCACCAGTGACACTTACACCAGCAGGCATGGAAATATTAAGGAGCAGGAACGACCTGTGGACATTCAACGGCCAAGGTTTCCTTGCAAGAGTCCAAAGAACACCATGCAGTTCATGCCAGATAGCAACTGTCCAGTTCCAACAGACAGGTTGCAAAACTACAAGAAGACAATCATCCAATGACAAATAGCAACACAGAGATGATTGAGGAAACACACCAAGACCTTGACAAGAGGCAACAAAAAGCGAGCCCTGCCAACACTGGACTGGAGAAGCATGGTGCAGAGACGAACAACCTCTCCCACGCAACACACCACCACCACAACCACCACCACCACCACCCCATCACTACCACCAGCCCCACTAGCAACCAAAGGGCCAACACAGACAACAGCTCAACGAGCTACAACCAACAAACCACCAGTACCAATGTATCGACATACAGAAAAGAAGCCTCTCACTGATATGAGACGAACAGGACAAGCAGTGGTCCCAACACAGCCTCACACAACAGAATCCCACATCCAAAAGAAGCGGATCCAACACGGGACTACAGGCAAAAGGAAGGTCCATGCTGGAGACGTGTATGTGTCCAACCAAGAAGGGACTTGTACATTCCACAACAAACAGATGATGGACCAGGAAACAGGATTAACGATGATTGGACGACAAAGAGTGGGCAGGCTCAACAGACTTGAAGAGAACACAACATACAAGGATGAGTTCACCACTGATGATTCAGAGGCGCAACAAGAAGCAAGGAGAGCAAGAGGAGCGCCAACACCGCAGCAACCACCTGAATAAGAACGAAGGGAACATGAATTGGCGCATCTTCCCTACAGAAGCTGGTGTAACCCAGATTCCACGGCAAAGCGACGACGCCCGCAACCGTCGCGCACGCGAGCCAACTTTTCTCCGCAGCGGAGCCTCCGTTTACCCGAAAAATCGCGATGTTTCGTGCAAATCCTGGCATTCAAATCGCATCCATGATGAGCAGTTCCAATGCGATCTGCCAACAGCGACTTGCAAACCACAATCAGGATCGCAGCTTCTCTGCTCTACTCTGCTCTTCTCCGCTCTGCTCTTCTCTACTCTGCTCTACTACTACCTCTACTCTTCTTTTCTCTAGTCTTCTCTACTCTACCTCTACTCTACCTCTCCTCTGCTACCTCCTGGGGTATAGTCACAGGAAGTTTCAAACTCCGAGTTACGGATGGTTTTATTCTCACTAGCCCAAAGATCATTGTGTCCAGTTGGCACCTGCGATAAGAGATCATGAAGTCACATTCTCACCAACCCAAAGATCATTGTGTCCAGCTGGCACCTGCATTAAGAGATCATGAAGTCACATTCTCACTAACCCAAAGATCATTGTGTCCAGCTGGCACCTGCACTAAGAGATCATGAAGTCGCATTCTCACTAGCCCAAAGATCATTGTGTCCAGTTGGCACCTGTATTAAGAGATCATGAAATCACATTCTCATTAGCCCAAATCATTGTGTCCAGTTGGCACGCGCCTTAAGAAAGTCACATTCTCACTAGCCCAGAGATCATTGTGTGCAGTGCATGGGCATGTGCCTCAAAAGATCATGAAGTCACATTCTGACTAGCCCAGAGATCATTGTGTCCAGTTGGCATGCGGGTACATACTCATTGGACCCCAGAGATCATTGTACTATTTCGTCACATTCCCCTTCAACATGTTTAACGGCAACTAATTGCGGACGTCTGTGTCTTTTCCCGAGAGCGTCTGAGCGAAGGGTTCTTCTAATAGTGGGGGTCTGTCAACCATTTTCACATCTTCACATCTTCTCATCCTCACACCCTCACATCTTCACATCTTCTCATCTTCACATCCTCACATCTTCACATCTTCTCATATTCACATCCTCACATCTTCACATCTTCTCATCTTCACATCCTCACATCTTCACATCTTCTCATCTTCTCATCTTCACATCTTCACATCTTCTCATCTTCTCACCTTCACATCTTCACATCTTCTCATCTTCACATCTGCTCATCTTCTCATCTTCACACCTTCTCATCTTCACATCTTCTCATCTTCACATCTTCACAGCCTCACACCCTCTTCACATCCTCACATCTTCACATCTTCTCATCTTCTCATCTTCACATCTTCACATCTTCACATCCTCACATCTTCACATCCTCACATCTTCTCATCTTCACATCTTCTCATCTTCACATCTTCACATCTTCACATCTTCACTTCTTCTCTTCATCACATCTTCACATCCTCACATCTTCACATCCTCACATCTTCACATCTTCACATTCTCTCTTGCCCTCTTGCTCGCTCTCTCCGTCTTTTCCATGTCTCTCTTGAAGACGCGGGGCAGTGCCAACGAGACGGCACGAAACACAACCCTTTCGCACGAAACAGGCGGTCCGATCGCAAAAAAAAAAAGAGGTAAAATTGCGATTTCACGCGTCCGGTCGCAACCCTTTCGCACGAAACGAGGTTCGATCGCAAAAAACTGAGGTAAAAGTGCCACTTGCAAAGCGTCCAGCGCAACCGTTTCGCACGAAATGAGGTTCGATCATCGCCAAAAACTGAGGTAAAATTGCGACTTTGATTTAGACTTGTCCGAGCGCGACCCTGTCGCATGAAATGAGATTCAATCGCCAAAAGCTGAGGTAAAATTGCCATTTCTCGCGTCCGGTTGCAACTCTTTCGCACGAAATGAGGTTCGATCGCCAAAAACTGAGGTAAAATTGCGACTTTGATTTACACTTGTCCGAGCGCAACCCTTTCGCACGAAATGAGGTTCGATCGCCAAAGAAGGTAAAATTGCGATTGCACGGGTCCGGTCGCAGCATGAAATGAGGTTTGATCGCCAAAAACTGAAGTAAAATTGCGATTTGCAAAGCGTCCTGCGAACCTTTTCGCGCGAAATGAGGTTCGATCGCCAAAAACTGAGGTAAAATTGCGATTTCGCGCATCTGGTCGCAACCCTTTCGCTGCTGTGTGTAAAAGCTTCTGTGTGTGAAAGTGTGTGTGTGTGTGTAAAAGTGTCTGTGTGTCAAAGCGTCTGTGTGTAAAAGTCTCTGTGTGTAAAAGTGTCTGTGTGTGTGTAAAAGCGTCTGTGTGTAAAAGTCTCTGTGTGTGTAAAAGTCTCTGTGTGTAAAAGCGTCTGTGTGTGTAAAAGCGTTTGTGTGTAAAAGCGTCTGTGTGTAAAAGTGTTTGTGTGTAACAGCTTCTATGTGTAAAAGCGTATGTGTGTAAAAGTCTCTGTGTAAAAGCGTCTGTGTGTAAAAGTGTCTGTGTGTAAAAGCTTCTGTGTGTAAAAGCTTCCTTGTGTAAAAGCTCCTGTGTGAAAAAGCTTTGTCTGAGACTTTCTTGTGCACACTCGACGGTGAACAAGGCCGATGATTGCTTTTGCGTATTTGCGTTATAAATGCCTGGACCTAGAAGCATTTCTCAGTAACATGTTTAGGTCACGAACTTCACCCCCCTTCGGATTGCTGAGGTGGCCACGACAACGATGACTTCGCTGTGAGTGTGTGTGTGTAACATCTAAATAGATGTAAAACTTCTCTCTTTTTCTTCCTTTGTCCTCTCCCTTTCTAATTCTAATTTTTATGCAGGGGGTGGTAGCAGGGTCCAGAGTCTACCACCAACGAAGACGCTCGCTCTGGTTTCCCTGGTGATACATGGCCTGATCAGCCATGCGTACCTGCATTTTTCGACTGCTGTGTCTAATTTGCATGTTACAGGATTCAGTTCCTGCCGGATCACTACAATGATCCATT